TTCCTGACTTTTCAGGTACTTGTCTTCTAAGCTCTTCTGGAAATCCCACATATATACAATCTCGATGAGCACTTTGGGTGGTAGCACAATATAAATGACTAATAACCATTAGAAATTGCCAGGATGATACTCTGTTTCTGCTATAGTATTAAGTAATGGAGCATAGCTGAAAATGGACACTGTGGAGCAAACTTACTACGATCAAATCTACTCCAGTCTGGTAAACTTGCTGCAGATCTGTACCACAGAACTTAGCTTCCCCAAAACTGCATCAGAAAGAATTTGAGAGTCACTTGGATATATTCAAACCGTGACAAGTTGTACTGAGTTGAATCAGTTGTACTGCTTGAATCAGCTTTAAAAGCCATTTTAAATGAGCTCAGAGTGTAGGAAAATGCTTTATTTGGTACAGTGTTCAAGCAAGACTGGCATTTCCTTGTACTTCATGTGTATAGCTTCTTCCCTGAAAGCATTCAACCAATAATCCCCATTTCTACATTTATTTTTCATTCTATTACAAACAGCCACAACTCCCTCTTTCCAAGAGGGAAAGTTTCTATCTGGCAGTGACAGTTAAGGAAGATGAGATACCTGCTAATAAAAAAATAAAAAGATAAAAAAATCAGACATCTTATCCTTTACATGTGCCTTTCACATGCAGATCTGAATATCAGCCTACATTTCCAGAGAAGGTGAATCCTATGGGAACAGAAACCTGCTCAAGAAGCCTGTTCACTACAACAGAATGTCATTTCCTTTTTCAGCTATCTATATATAGTGACATGAAGCACCTTGGTGTTCCTGCATGTTTTCTCAGGCACTCTCAGATAAAACCCCTAAACTGGTATGTCATTGTGAAAACCCCATATCCTATGTTCTTTCAGTGCTTTTGCTCACCAGTATGGACAGCCCCTACCTGTCTGCCGGTCCCCTCACTGCCCAAGAGGCTCTTGGGTAAGAAAGCCTTGCTGGACATTCCCTTTCCTTTGGTTTGATGTGCTCTGCTACTGTACTCTGCTGAAGTACACACTGAGCAAGCACTCTTTCTCAGTGCTAATAGCTGCTAAGTATTTGTGAACACATCTCAGCTTGAGCCTTCCCAGGACATAGTGCTCCTGTCAAAGTTCACACACCTCCTCCCTTTCATTGTAGGTCACGGTTCCCTCCCTGCAGCCATCTTTGAGTTTCATCTCAATGCTTCTCATTTTACACTGTCTTCTGATAATGAAGTGCCAAGTGCTATACTCCACTTAGAGGCGGATCCTGCCATCACACAGAAGAGATAGCTCTGGTGCCCTCTGCGCACAGACAGCAACATCTGCCTGCTGAAACTCACCATATCCTAGCCAAAAAACAACTGAAATCCTTCCTCCTGCTATGATCCACTAGCTCATGCTAAGCCTACCAAACTTGCTGCCCCACCACCCGCCTATGCCCAACCACCACCTTTTTCTCAGCCCTTCCCATGAGCAAATTTTATTTCAGATTATTTTCCCCAGCTGATCTGATCCTATTTTGCCCAGCAAAATGCATTCACTGGTGCTTCCACCTGTTCTAACACCTTTAGATTATTCTCTTTTATGTCTGGACTTTCTCCTGATAAAGTGTCCCCTTAAAGATAAAATCAAAAGGGCAAATCCCGAATAGGGAACTGAGAGAATTATTATGCATTAATGTTTTTTATGTAGCTGTGTCCTTACCACCACCAAACTGTTTCAGAAAGGAGTGCTGCAAGAGACCTCCCTCATGCCATTGCTCATAGTGGTACACGCTTTGTAGGCAGGCAAGTGATGTAACAAAGTTCTGCAGTTTGGTCTATTGAAATTTGGTTTTAAGCAAGTGGGAGCTGTACTCACGTGTGCAAGAAAATAACCCAAACCAGAAGAAATGCACAGAATGAAAGCATGTTCTGCAATGTCAACCTCAAGTGGCTGCATTCCTTGGAGGAATGAGGACTGAAACCCAACCCCTCACTGAATGAGGCAGGTAACTGAAGATCTCACAAAACGAGGTTCCAAGCAGTATGTTTACAATATTCATAACTATAATGCAAAATACAAACTACAAAGTATACCACCTCTTAGAGTTCTTTTTGTATTTTAATTCCATGCAATTTCATTAACTCTTTGCAAGATGTGCTTGAAGGAACTCTAGAATAATACAGGTCATTTTTAGTAGACATTTATATTCCGTTGTTAATTGGCGATGCAAGGAGGAACAAAATACCCAAGGCAGTATACCAGGGAATAGCCTGCACTGGCAAGCAGAATGAGTGAGTAATCTAACAGATCTGTTTCCTTCTCTAAAAATCCTTCTATGGCACTGCATTTCCAGGTATGAGCACAAAATGCAATGAATTAGAATTAGTACTAACCAGTTTGTGCTCTGCCAACAGTTAAGTGATGTGCAGGCAAAAGAAATAAATCCCCATTTCTTCGCTGCACCAAGCCAGCAATCAGAGATGGCAAACACAGATTAGGACATCAAACCCAGAAAATGCTGCAGCAACCACATGAAATTAGCACTGTTTCATTATGATGGAGATAGAATTTGCTGGACTACATTTCCCACCATGCAGTGTGCAGGAACCTGATTGACAGCATTAGTAACTACATCTTCATAAAACAGAATTGTGACTCAGATACAAGAAAAAATCCTGTGTGAAATTGCTTGGTGTTATTTAAAAGGACACAGACTAAGTGATTGTTTATCAGTATACAAAATAGAGTGAAATTTTCCCACAGGAGTAGCAGCCTGAATAGTATTAACAGTGCTTTAAACTGTAATGAATTCCCAGTCTAATTCACTATGAGGTTTCAATTTATACCACATTTAGAGTACTCCAGGTTCAAGTAATCACTGCAGTAATTAGCTTACTTCCAGTCCTCCAAAATAAACCCACTAATTTTTGCAATCAGCCTTCATTTGGTTAATCACCAGTTTAATTGATTTAATTAGTTTGATCTGCAAAATTAGTCAAGTGTAAATACTGTTTTGTAAACAGAGTTTAGCTCCAAGCTGTAATATAGGGAATTCTAATTCAAAGCTAGAGTTAATAATAAAAACCAACACACGCATGATTTTGTTGCAGTATCCAGCGGTTCTAAGTCTGTAAGACACAAATTTACACTTTCAATAGATAATGCTATTTTATATTAGTGACAGCACAAAGGACATTGCCTCTCAAAGTTTTAATCTTGTCTGATGATTTTTACAGCACTGACAACTGCCACTACAGCAGTGGGTTTGCTTTCCCTAGGTTAAGAGTACAATTGCTCCTTTTTCATTTTGCTGTTGGTTCCAAAAGGTGCTAAAAGGCATTTATTAATGAGCTAGACCAAAGGGAAAAAATGTATTAAGGAGAACTCTGGTTACTCCTAAACAAACATTATTTTAGAATGCTTTAGAAGGCATGGGAAGAAAAGCAGCAAGCTAGGCTGTAACCTGGGCAGTAACACACAAGGAAGAGGGGATAATGTCCTGAAATTACAAGCTGAGCAAAACTGGAAATAAGATCAAAATTTGCTATTCTGGCAGAGCTTCATCAGTTACTGATACTCATCAGCAAAAAAGTACATTTGCTTCCCTGAACAATGCTATGTCCATGACTGATACCTAAACACACCATGTACACATTAAACTTTTAAAAGTTATCCCAGAAGATGCAGAGCATGGTTCAGAACAAGGCAGATATCTTTACAGGAGGCAGGCAAGCAGGTACCCAGAAGGTCAGAAAAAGTGGCAAACAGAAACCAGTTTTCCACTGAATAGCATTCAGAGAAAGGAAGCGACTGGATTTATTGTATCAATGAGAAAGACAGCAAGAGATTAACAACAAGATAGAGAAATGGCCAAGACTAGAGGAACAATTTCTTTCCAAAGAATGCAAGTTAGGAAAAGCACAAGTCTAGGCTGCAGGTACGGAATCTGTTCAGCTCTGCTGGGCTGCCTTTGTCATCACGGTCAAGTCATTTGGATTTTCTGAATCTTACTTCAAACCGTAAATGTAAATGGTGTTTGCTCCCAAGTCACACAGAGCTCACACTGATCCATCACAGAAAAGGTGGAGAAACCCTTCTACTGAAAAATAACATTCTATCAACAAAACACCAACAAGTTATCTCAATTTTTTTTCCTTAAAAACTATTTATATCTCAAAATATTTAAAATGAAATTTTTATTCTATTCTAATTTAAAGATTTTTTTTCTTTTGCACCAGATTTTACCTGTCTCCCACCTCCATCTCCTGAATATAAAAGTATGTCTACAACTCCTTTATCTCCCATTTTCCCTCACCCCCATTTTCCAGCTATAGCTTCCAAATTTATTTCAAACTGAAGTAATGTAACCATCCTGCTCAAACACTTCAACATTTCCTTCACTGTCTGAAGGGAAATCAGGATTCATTCCAACCTGAATTTCTCTTCTACAAGGTATTTGCAATTTCTATCAAATGTTTGGTCCGAGGTATTTCACAGGGCAGGCTTTTGTTTCTTTGACTAGCCACTTGGAAAAAAAAATACAAACTAAAAGAAGCCAAGAACAACTCATCTGAGCCTTTCAAGCGTTAGAAAAACCTTCATAAAGTCTGGACAGGAACAGGAGGAAGCCAAGAGACCTTCACGGCAGAAGTCTGCACCCAGCAAGGTGCCTAAGCTCAGTGCCAGTCCTCATTCCCTGTGCTCTACCGTTGTTCAGCCCATGTCCATCATGGAAAGACAGTGAAAGCTTACAAGAGCTAAACTAAGAAGGAACTGCAATATCTGTACCAGTTCTTTACTATCTTTTTCAAACCTTATTTTTCACATCTTATGATGTATTAATTCGTGCACTTGCAAAAACAACTGTGAATTCTGTTTTGTACATGTGGTTACTAGTAAGGAGGATTCGGGGGATTCACATTAAACTGAGTCCCAGATGTTCCTGCCCTTGTGATTTGCATTGATCTGTTCTTTGTCAGTTGTAATTATCAATCAAAATGACTGAATTAAGTCAACCACTCTGCAGAAGACATATTTATACACATGATCAAAAGCACAGCCATGGTACAAAGCCTGAAGTTCCCCAATGCTCCATGTAACTTCAGGGAGAGGCCTCTCCATGTAAGATACAACCCCACCCCTGCCCCATCTCCCAGGCTATCACAGTCTGTTGAAGTCTCTCAGTCTCTCTGCAGGACTTTTGTGTGAATAAATAACAGTTGCTGGATGGAAATAAAACCTCTAATCACCAAGGCCTTGAAGAACAGCACCCTGTGGAATAGATTACAATATTTTAGCATGTTCATTTCATTTGGTGTTTCCACTGGTGCTCTTTTAACAATGATACAAACTGCACATTGGGTACTCATTACTCCACACTGGAGAGAGTAGAGTATCTTGTAAATATGCATTAAACTGTAGCTAGATTTTCCTTCACTACACGCTGTGTCTGAGCTGAGGCACAAACGCGTCTTCTTGAGAGCAATAGTTGGGTATATTCCTGGCATGCTGCCACTGCCAGTGAAATATGTCCTTCTTACAGATGTTTCTTACACGACTGGGAACAAATTGCTCATCTATGCACACAAAGACATACACAGATAGACATAAGGTACTATGAAAAAAAAAAATCATATATAGCCAGGGAAAAACAGGTTTAAAAAAAAATCAGTTTGGAGAGTGCTCGGTGTGTGCACCTATGCAATGGGCAGCTTCTGTTTTCTTAAACACAAACTGGAGATTAAAAAAGTATGTGTGCTTCAAAATGCAGATCATTAAACTTAACCAACCACAAAGCATAACCGAAGCTTATTAGCTCTGTTGGTGTATGTAAGCAACATACCACTTTACAAATACACCGCAGTTCACACTTGCCTTCTGTTGCTTTGAAATAGACCTGTCATGGTTATGAACACTGGGAAAACTTCGTGCAGAGCCTACAGCATGTCTCATTCTTCTGAGAAGTGAAAGGGGTCCCCAGATTGTTCAGATATGGAAAGATCTGTTTGATGCATGAGCTGGACCAGAACTTCAGATTGCACAGGTGACTTGGCATCAAAGAGCCCTGTTTATGAGCAGGGACCTTTAACACTCTTAAAAAGGTTTCAGTTTTACACACATATAATAGTAATACTTCTGAAAGTTTAGAGGCTGGGAATCTCTATTTAATGCCAGAATCCCAGCTCCACAATTACACAGGCTGGATCTCTGCCCTGGCTTGTTGTGAGGATCTCCATGTCCATGTTTCTGTCAAAGGTGGCACAGTATCTGAGAAGATGCTTAGACTGGATTCAGGCTCTTATGTGCTGTCTATGGGCAGATCTCGTGTAAACCTGAAGTGGTGTGGATGGATATCTGTTCCAGAATAAACACTGCTAGTACAAAGTTGTATCATCAATACTCTGAACAATTTCAGACCAGTAGAATGAGCTTAATATCAGATTAGCAACAAGTATTACACAGAAGCAAAGTTTTTGCTTTACTAACAAGAAACCCTAGAAGAACATTTACTCTAGCATTAAACTGTGGCCCCAAAATCCTACATACTCTAATCACATGTTAGCTAACCTGCAATTATTTTACTTTTACAGCAAGCCCTGTTGGCTTTGCTCTCACAGGAACAAGACATCAAGATACTGAAATTCTGCATTCTTATTTATACACACCATTCAAGTTCATGTTTTGTAAGAGAATGATGGATTTTCCAATTTGTAAGATTTCTTAGGCAATCGAGAGTAACTCTGAAACAACACTGAATGGATAATGACCGTACTTGCTATGTTTGATTTAATGTGTTTGGCTAGGGTTAACCTATTTCTTTAGACTATACATTAGTAAAGTTTCATTAAAATGAAAAAGGGTTGTACATATTCCTGCAAAGCAGACTACATGTTCTCCACCAGCTCACAGACCAGATCATTTCCTATTTTGAAGGAACAAACAAGCCTCAACAAAAGCTTCAAAGCTTATTTGACTTTTAACAATCACATTAAATTACATTACACAGCCCTAATCACAAATGCTCTGAGAACTGCTTGATATTGGTCCATAAATAGAACACTTAAATAGGCAAAAGAGCTAAACTAAGTAAGTAATTACTGTTCAGGTCACAGCAAAGATATCCCCCCCCCCCCCCCCTTAGCTACTAGCTACCCTCTTTCTCCATTTCCATATGGTCTGTAGCTTGTCATCAGAGGGAACAAGAACATGTTATAGAAAATATGCAGCATTACACACCACACACATAAAGGAATAAAAGTTCAGATTTTGGGCAGTACCACCAAAATCTGCCTTCAGGCACAACACAGTCACACATAAGTACTTAGTAAACACCAAAAAAACCCCTTAATACAGCCACAGGCCCGAGCTCTCTCTCAAATATACTCCCTAGTTACAATCACACTAATTCCAAAATGAAGTTACTCACCCTCTGCTTCTGCTCAAGGCCTTAAAGTTCCCACAAAGAAAGTCTCTCTTTGGAAATGAGGACTGTATTAACACAAACATTTCCTTCTAACTGCTTCCATCATGAGCCAAGTATGTTTTATTCCTAGACCACACACTTTCTGTATGCCAGATCGATGCTTCCACTAGAGAGACAAGCAAACTCCTGTTAGCACAACGCAGAGCGCCCACAAACCCACACCTGCCACATGGAGCAATGTAGTCTCCCACCAGCTGATCCTACTAAGACATTTATACAATACAATCTCCTTTCTCTCCCCATATCACCATCACTAAACAGAAGAGAAAGAGAGCAAAGAGAGGCCAAAGAGAGACAGACTTATCAGTAAAGCTCCTTGAGTTCTTTTGAATGCTAAGTGAGACCAGTTTACTGTTCTGAATGCCTCTGAGGTCACACCTCTGTAGCAGCTTTCACAAATCCTGACAATTACTTGCAAATGCAATCAGCAGCCCTCTGCATCTGCATCCCCTTGAGTAACCTGAGCATCAGGTGCTGGTCCTTATCTGTGAGATACCTAGGACTCAACAGGAACCTGCACAGAACTGTTCCTTCTCATTTAAACAGGTTTCAAAACAAGCCAACATCACCTCACTTTCTATGACCTATAACATCCCTGTACTCATAGCTCACTGTCTTGTTTTATTCCTCCTGTACCATACAGCATCCTTCACTGCTCTATTTCTGTGGCTCTAAGTGTTAATTTGCCATGCAGCACATGGCTATGTGGTAACACACAGACAAGATGAATAAAGAAAGGCTTCTGAGGAAGCCAAAGTACCATCCTTTGTATTACAGACCTGAACAAGAACACCGTGGTTTTAAGGATTAATCTATTCCTGAACCTCTCCCCTTGGGATGTTTTAATAACTACCCAGTATCACATAGCTGTCATCATTTTATAATGGAAATCATTATGCTGAGACCAATAAGCCACAAGGTGAAAATACTGATATTTTAAGATTATTAATGGAATCAAGGCCTGAAAATTCCAAGTCAGACAGACACTTGTGGAATAATGTAGTCCCAGTTAACAGCAACAGGTTTATACAACTGTATCTGAAGACAGAAAATGTCATTCACGAAGGAAACCATCGTCAGAATAAATTCCTAACAAGTAATGAGAGTAAATTAAGATCCAGAAGCCAGCTGGAGGTCAGCACTTTGCCTGCTCCTCCAGCTTGAGTCTGCACCACACCACACACCCCAGCTAAACAGAAGTATAATTAATCGGACCTCTTCATGCAGTTCTGTGATCATATGATGTTTGTTTATTTGGTGATATTCCACCAACCTTAAGAAATTATGTTTTCATAGGCCCCAGAATTTATTTTCCTTTAATGAGTTCCCTTTTCCCCTTCCAGAAATACTAAAATCTAACAATTTAATGCAGCCAACTGATTAAAAGAAGCTAAAATGCATGCAGCATTGCTCAAGATCTGGACCCAGAATTAAGGGATTAATCCATAAGAAAAGCTGTAATAGACCCCACGACAGTCTGTATACTGGGACTCAACAGCATTTGAAAAACAGCACTATAGAAACTTTAACAGTTGTCGTACTTTTACAAGTGTCAGCCTCGCCCTATTTTCACTGCACCGCAGTGGCAGATGCACTGGGTTTCACAGCTTCATGACAGCCTGTTTGTCACATTCTCTTCAAACCACTCTATAGAACTCAGAAGCCCAAGTTCTGTTTCCAAAAGCACTTAAGTATCTCAAAGCCTAAGTAGTGTACTTTGAATGAGGCTACATGTGCCAACCAAATGGACGTGCAGACAGACAGAATAGAAACATAAAATCTACCAGGCTGGAAAAGACCTTTAAGGCCATAAAGTCCAACCATTCCCTCAGCACTGCCAAGTCCACCACTAAATAATGTCACTAAGTGCCTCACCTACACGGTTTTTGAACACTCCCATGGTTTTTGAATAGTGACTCCACCACTGCCCTGGGCAGCCTGTTCTGATGCCTGAGCACCCTTTTGGGGAAGAATTTGCTCCTAATAACCAGCCTAAACCTTCTCTTGTGCAACTTGAGGCCATTCCCTCTTGTCCTATCAGTTGTTGCTTGGGAGAAAAGATGAGCCACCTCCTGGCTCCATTGTCCTTTCAGGCGGCTGTAAAGAGCAATAAGGTCCGCCCTGAGCCTTCTCTTCTCCAGACTAAACAACCCTAGTTCCCTCAACCATTCCTCCTCGGTCTTGTGCTCCAGGCCGTTAACCATTTTCATTCCCCTTCTGTGGACATGCTCCAGTGGGTCCATGGTTGCATATAAGCACCAAAGTGCTATCCCTCATCTTCCTGCAAGAGTCTCAGGATAACTCTGCCAGTTCTCTCGCTGCCACCAACAGCCACAGCTTCAGCCCCCCTGTGAGCCCCACTGTCAGCCCAGAGGCAAAAAACACCACTGAACTGATCACAGATCACTGATGGTCACCCCTGCCCTATTCATAGACATCACAGTACCCCCCTAATCATCCCTTGTCTGGGTGTCTTGCTATTGATACTGCCTAACCTCCAGGAGCCTTCCTCATCAAAAGTCTCCATGGTCTCTGGAAATAGTTTTCCCCATTCGGGGCTCTAGCTCCTCCATCTCTCCAGTGAAGTAGCTATATCAAATAAACATGCTTTACAAACACTGGTATTCATGTAATGCGGAGGTACCACAACCACTCACTAAGCTCCAGTCAACCTTTATAATGCCTTTGCCTTCTTCTTTTCTTTTTTTTTCCCCTGGAACATTACACATCCTTGTATAGCTACTGTGAATATTCAAATACTGTAATTGGAAATGATTTACTTTGTTTTGAATTAACTAAAATTCCATTGTTAAGCACAAATACTGCTTCACTAAATCATCAAGCTTTTAATAGGTCCACATGAGCAGGTTACTGAGCGTGTTAGGATTTATAATGCTCCTGGGGAGCTGACCACTGTATTACGCTTCCTGCTGCTAGGTAATATGCATGACACATTTCTGGACACTAATTCATTTATTTAATAGTAACAGTATGCAAAAACAGAGTTCAAAATGAGGCTGACAAAGAAGGTATAAAAGTTTTATTAATCCATAGCTAATCAAAGGCCAGAGGAAGGCATATAATGGTGGCATTTACAGACCATATCGAATGTGAATAAATTAAGTTTTTGTTTCCTAAAATCTTACTAATAGGATGTATTCAGCTCGAAACATTTATACTTTTAATTACAGTGCCAGCCAATTTAGAGCTGGTATCTGGTTGTACTGTGCTTAAAACTTTGCATCAAGGATCACTACAAATCCTCTCATCAGCTATTTTTTGAATCTGATTTGTTACTGTGTGCACTGTGTCCATGCTCAGAAATAATAACCTTATTTACTTTCTCATTTAATTATACAGTGACAGATTTCTTGTAGGGGGAAAGGGCACTGAGGGAAAGTGTTCTCCTCCTGTGAGAGAAATTCCCCTGAAAGGCTCAGCATCATGTACATGCAACATAACTTTATGGCTCTGTCCTTCAAATGTTTGTACACAGGGGTAAACCAACAGAACTACTCATACAGACACGATCGTTTCTCCAGGCAAAAGTTTGCACAGGATCACACCCATTTCTAACAAGTTATCAAACACTTAAATCACATTGCAAATTTTGTTTTGCAAATCTAGTTACTACTAACTGTAATAGCTGACTGAAAAATATAAAGAAATAAAATTAAAAGGAATAGGAAAGCTAGCAAACATACTAATTTGGTCTGCATTTTTGAAATACCCTCAAGATAATAGATCTTACTTTGATCCAGATCCTCCAGAAAGCAAGCTGACTTACAAAGAATGGGAAAAAATTAAAGCCACAATGCTTCCATAAAATCTTTGAGGTATCAGGATAAGTTTCAGTAACAGTCATTTCTTCCTGTTCCCCTCACCAACCATCTGGAGTTAGGAAGAGAAAAAAATTGCTGAAAACACAGAATTCTCTTCTTCAGTTTACTTGAGAAGCAAATCCACGTGTGAGGTTTGTAGTTCCATGCTCTTGCCCAGCAAAAAACTCCAGCATTTCCAAAACAAGATAGCAATCCTGTGGTGGCTGCTTGCTGCTTACACAGACAGTAAACATCCGATGACCTTTGCTCAGCTCACGAGAAGCAAGAAAGCAAGTAGATTCAGAGGACCACAGTCCACCTCAACTTAAGATTAAACAAAACTGCCTCACAATTCTTATTTATACTTGCTAGACAAGTTCTTCATCAGTACCTGCAGCAGCTGGGGAAAAAAAATACAACTAGCATATTACACACGCAAATTCTACCTCTCTAGAGGATGGGCACACTTATATACACTCATCCCAACTTCCTTTAGGAGGAGATAGGCACATGCCACACACATTCAATGGAAAGGACCCAAACGTGGAAAAATCTAAGTGAAACCCAAAGTGGACTCTTCTTGAAGAAACCAAAGCTTGTCTGTTTCCCTTCTGCTCTGTAGACTACAAGTAGTAAATGCTACACCCCAGATGTAATATTTTATTGGCTGCTTTTATAGCGTACGACCCGAAGTGTGAAAGGAATGACTGATGTGACGGGTGACAGCCAAGTATCACAGCTTGAAAAGTAGTGGCCTGAAAACTAACACAATTATTTCAGACATTGTACTGGGAAACAAAAAATAAATCATTTACTAAAGCAATGGAAAGACTTGACAGCCTCTTGAATTTGCTTTTAAAAATGCTAAAAACATTGTCAGGAATACCAAAGAGTATTCCACAATATCAGGAAAATGATGCAGAAATAAGACATGTTTAATGCTTACATGATATCTCATTTTACTAACCCTGGGTTAACTTTAAGCTACAGAAGTACATTTAAGAAGCTCAGTTCTTGTGACATGTGCAAACTATCTGAGCTTTGCTCTTGCTGTTTATACTGCTGTAGAAACCTCAAGCAAAACCAGTCTTATATCAGCAAAAACTGCACCCAATGGGAATTATACAAGTCAGTCTTGGTCATGTGAGCTTTGCATGGCCAGGGATGCTGGCTAAGCAGGGGCCTGATAGACTCAAAGCAAAGGTTGCCTTCCTATACACACATTTCTTATACATATATACATATATATGTATAAAATGTGTGTTATATATAAACATACATGTGAATGAAGTCATGTACTGAGAAACAGTATGCTCATCTGGCATATGCCTACTGTAGCTAGGTGGCTGTGCTTCTTTCTGTCTCCACTGCTTGCAATTAAGACAGTTAAAGGCTGGGCATAAGCTCTTATGAAGAACTGAGAAGCGTCAAGAGTTACAGCTCTTAAGCAAAGCCTTCAGCTCTACATGATTTAATGCAGTTAAAGACCTAGGGTAAGCATGCATGTTTGCATTCCTAGCTTGCTGTGACAGTGAGGTAAGATCTGTCATGGGAGTATAAATAAATATTTAAGCATTACCTTGTATTAGTTACAGAGTAGAAAAGAGTAGCAGAAGTTGTTACCTTGGCTGAACAGGTGAACAGTTGCTTATGAAGCTGCAATAATTCAGCTGTGGGTCTGTCCCAGAGCAGTAAGCCTGCACATCTGTCTGTGGAGGAGGAGACGGAAGTAGTGTGAAGGAGACTCACAATGTGCTGCTTTGAGAGCTCTAAACACTACCACACTTAATCTCCTGTAATTTCAAGACATAGTAACAGTAAGAATCTAAGTGTTTGATGAGTCTCCTTTCCTGAAGCAAAATCTGAAATCAGCTTTGAAGAAATTCACTTTAGGTATTACACTTTATATATTCATCCTCTGAAGACAGGCAAGAACCACCTATATTAGAATTGCAGAACACACTAT